TATTAACATTAACATCATCAACATTATGTTTCATATTTTTTGTGTTATGCTTTACTAGTCTTTCCACATAGATAGATAAGTGTTTTATTGCTGTGACTCTGTCTGTTTCTATTTCCCTCTCTCTCATTTTACCTAGCTATCCCACTTGTAAGTCAATTGCCCACTTTACTTAACTCTATGTCTATAAACAATGTCTAAATCTTGTTTAATATATGGCATACCAGCATGACTTACATATCCTGGTATGAAAATTTGAACTATAAACATCATAGGCTACAGTGAAAGGTGAAAATCAGATGTTGTGCAGTAAGGCAGCAAGACAAGGTTGCTGAATTACAGTTTGAAGGGGTAAGCTCATTTACATCAGATGACATCTAAGCATGTCACGGCAAATATTAATGAAACAATCAGTCAAGTCTGATGTGTGTGCTAAAAGGCTGTTTGTTTGTTTAGGCATGATTGCAACTATTGAGATGTTGCCCTTGCTAATTAGTATTACTTCATCAAAAATATTTGCAACCAAAAAAATAAAAAGCAAGTTAACTACATGTTTCCTACATTTCCAATTTTTCCACATAACTGGCTGACTATTCGCAGTACCTGGCATGTGGCTCATTATTGTGAAGGAAAATCCTGCCATGTAAGAGGTTCATTGTTTCCCTTTGTGATACTAATCATACTAGTTCCGTGAACAAAACTTCCACTGTACAATGTCTACCAAACATCACTGAATGCTACTATACCTACCATCTCAGCCACCACAGTGTAGAGGATCTGGTGCACCAAGGCATATCTCTCCCTGCCTGCCTTGGTCATCATCTGCTGGCAAACGTCTGTCATGCGGCACATCACGCCCTCAATAGGTTCCAGCAACTCAGCTATGCAGTGGTCACTATGCACCTCTGACATGATATACATAAAGAATTAAAACAAAGTATGCGTTTGTATGTGTATGTGCGTTTGTGTGTATATGTGCGTTTGTGTGTATATGTGCATTTGTGTGTGTGTGTGTGTGTGTGTGTGTGTGTGTGTGTGTGTGTGTGTGTGTGTGTGTGTGTGTGTGTGTGTGTGTGTGTGTGTGTGTGTGTGTGTGTGTGTGTGTGTGTGTGTGTGTGTGTGTGTGCATTTCTGTGTGTGTGCATTTCTGTGTGTATGTATTTGTATATGCATTTGTGTGTGTGCATTTGTATATGCATTTGTGTGTGTGCGTCTGTGTGTGTGCATTTGCGTGTGTGTGCTTTTGTGTGCGTGTGTGCTTTAGTGTGCATGTTTGCATTTGTGTGTATGCATTTGTGTGTGTGTATATTTGTGTGTGTGTGTATTTGTGTGTGTGTGTGTGTGTGTTTGTGTGTGCGTGATTGTGTGTGTGTACATTTGTGTGTGTGCATTTGTCTGTGTGTGTGGTGCATTTGTGCGTGTGTGTGTGCATTTGTGCGTGTGTGTGCATTTATGCGTGTCTGTGTGCATTTTTTGTGTGTGTGTGCGTTTGAGCATTTGAGCATTTGTGCACGTGCGTGTGCATTTGTGCATGTGTGTTTGTGCGTGTGCGTCTGTGCATATACGTTTGTGCATGTGCATTTGTGTGTGTGCGAGTGCATTTGTGCGTGTGTGTTTGTGCGTGTAAATATATCTATACATATATTTGTATATCTATCTATAACATTTATATATATATTATATATATATATATATATATATATATATATATATATATATTATATATATATATATATATAAATTATTATTTATATATATATTATATATATATAATATTATAATAATTGTATGTATATGTTATAAATTATATCATATATATATATTATATATATATATATATATATATATATATATATATAAATATAATATATACATATAAATATATATATATTATATAATATTATAATTATATATATATATATATATATATATATGTTAATATACTGTATACTACTACATGTATAATATATGTATAATATATGATATATGTTTTGTAATATATAATGTATATAGTATATATATATATATATTTTTTATATATTATTTAATATATTTATATACATATTATATATTTATATTTTTATATATATATATATTTATATATATATTATATATATTATATAATATTAATATATAATATAATATATATAGATTTAATAAATGTACATATAAACACGGAACTGTGATATACCGTCAAAAACAGATCATACGACCTTTTACAACAAACGAATAAAACTATTGGTGTGTATGTATATATAAATAAATATATATATATATATATATTATATATATATATATATATATATATATATATATATTATATAAATATATATATAATATATATATATATTACATATATATAATATATATTATAATATATACTTTATTAATATATATTATAATATTATATATACATGTGTGGTATAATATAAATATAATTAATATATATAATATTATATATATATATATATATATTATATATATATTGTATATATGGATAATT